TGGCTCCTGCCACTAAGTGGTGGTCAGAGAGCTGTGCCTTTCGCTGATGGGTTTCTGGTTCCCTTTGCTGCAGGATCCTGAGAAACAACACTGCTAGAATTATAAAAATAACAGTATGATCAGATGCAGAGAAAGCAGATTTAATTTTTACATTTCCATCCACAGGTAAAGGCTGTGATGTCTCTCTTGCAAGGAAGTACAAGGTAATTTTGCTTCCCGTTTCTTTCATTTTGTTTAGAGAAAATTCCTGTCATCACTTAACAAAATACAATCCAGACTGAGAGAATTTCAAAGGTCTTGTTCCCTCTCTGACAATCTTAAGATTGCAAATATCTGCATGACCATATTTAACTCACAAGGGGGAAATCCATACAGGTAGATTATACTTAAACATACCTTGTCAATGTAGCTTTGCCTCTCCCCTTAGCACCTGGATGCATGTACTGTTTGTGAAGGTCCCGGGCTCTGCCTCCTTCTTGATCTACTGGGAAAAAAATTCTTCCTCTTCAAGAACTGCCAGAGTCACAGAAATGCAAGTTCTCTTCCAAGAAAACTTCTAGGTTGCTATTCTCAATCTAGTGGAAGCAAAAGTGGCTGACAGCCTGCTGGATCCACGCAGTGAGACGAGACTCGGACGAGAGCAGATCGAGAATCCCCTGAGCAGGGACAGACAAGGTCTGAAACTACTTCAAAGTTAAAAGAAAAGAAAGAAGGGAAAACCCCAAAACCCAGCTGATAACTGTGTTACACAAACACCACAGGTGATAGGAACTGATGGCAGGAAAACACAGGGAGTGTCGTCAGCCACTACCGATGACTAATACCGGTACCAAATCTCTAGAGTTGTGAGAAGGCTGAAAGGTCATGGGGTTTTCAGACTGCCAGGACTTCACCAAACACACACCTAATGCTGACCATGAGAAGCCTACAGTAACCAGAGCAGAGTTCTGGGGCAAGCCAGGTGTACTCAATATTAGCATGACGTGAATACCCAAGGAAAGCAAGATCCTCTCTAAGAAACTTTTTGTTGCTGCTGACAGTTCAAGCGGTCTGTCCTTGGCTACGCAAACCGTTCTCACCTATTGCACAGCTACCGGTTCCATGTGAGGGAATCCTTTTGAACAACTCTGCACTTCCCCCTGCCCCAAATCTAAAACGTCTTTCATGGTTACTCCTCCTCTCCACACCTGTATCTGAAAATGACACAAACTGCCAGAGGTACCGCTGCAGCTGAGCTTTGCTTGTGCAAGACGTGGCAACGAGGGAGAAAGTGGGTATAGATTATGCTTGTGTTTCTTTGGTCCGAGGATGAGCTGCCAGCAGCGCTGAGGCACTACCGGCAGCTACAGCTCCCTGAGAGGTTGTGGTGGGCAAGCTACGAGACCCCGTATGGTGTGAAAAAACACTTCTATCTATAGAGTTATTGCAGGTATTGTGATATAAACAGTTGCACCTTCTTTCTGGCTACGCTGCATGGCCAGAAGAGCGGACACGAACTGAACTGACTCCAGGATCTAACACAAATCTCTGTTCATTGTTCCCAAACATTTAACGTAATGGGGAAAATTAATCCTACTTGTCTGAAGTAAGTGGAGTAAAACAAGAAGCGAATGCTACTAAGCAAAAATAGAGATTTTTAAAAATATCTGTTATTCCGTGCTATGTTCTCTGCTTAGCACCATTCAGAGGTAGTGCACATATGCAGCATTACTAAGAAAATGTAAACAAGACAATCTGAACATTGCTTTACAGAGTCAGCTTCAGTTCCTGAAAAAAATCAGTGTATAGCCGTGCACTTAACTGGCATGTCCAGCCACTGAGACTGAACCACGTGTGTTTGGATGGAGTTTCTTGATGGCCCTTTTTTTTTAATTGTCTTTTGACATCCAGACCTAATCTTTAATCAGATTATCTTTGGCCTCAAGATCCAAGATTTCTGCAATCAATCAAATTAACTGCTTTTACTGACATCCACAGTTCTGCAGAGAATTAAGGCCTGCAACAGTTTTCCTTTCCTCTCTCCATGCAGTATTTCTGAAAAAGGTTTTGATTTTTGAATTTCGAATGCAGTGTTCACAGAGCGCTGTTCAGTAGCCACTTCAGTACAGAATATAAAAGATGACAGAATGAATTGAGATTTAGCCTCTTATTGAAGGTGAACTTGATGTTAATCCCTAACTGGTAGAAAAATGAGCAGAAATCAGAAACCTTTCACAACTGACAACTGAAAAGACACATCCCAAAATATTCATCTTTAATTGATGCATTGTTCATTCTTGCAGGGTTTTCTTTAAAGGAATTCTACTGGGAATGCCAGCGATAGCATTAAACGATACTTATTTGTGTTACATCTGGTTTAGCCCTTTATTTATTTATATTTTACCTGAAAATGTATTTTCTTAGAAACCTTATAACAGCATTTCTGCATTATCAGTTCATTTTGTTCTCTTCTTTCCTGGATGTATTAGCCAGGAAAAGGAATTCCCAGTCTATAACAGACAGATTAATTCACACTTTTTACTTTGTCCACATAGAAAAATGCAATTTCTGGATCATTGTGGCATATGGATCTAGATGAACTAGACACTCCAAAAACTAGCTACCCAGACGGGGATATGCTTACAAAAATCTTTTATGTCAAAGTCAGGATTTCACAACATAACACGCTAATGCAAAATCCAGTAGCACCTGAAAGATTAAGGTAGCTGCTGCTATCACTTGCACATACTTGAAAAAGATTTAAGAAAAAAATAAAGAGTAAAAGTACATTCTCCAGAGAACAGCAAGTGTATTTCAAAATTAAAAAACTGTATTTGATTTTTTTTTTTTCCTGGGTGTTTCTGTTAGGTTTTTTGGTAATTCTTTTTGCCTTTTTTTTTTTTTTTTTACAAGACTGTAGTTGCCATATAACAAGTTATAAGCAATGCAACTGCTCTTCCCTCCAGTGCAAGTTCATGGTCATGTTTTCAGGCTACAGTACTCAACATTGTTTTCTAGTATACATATTCCCATAGTTTCATCAAAGATAAATACAACGTATAATACCTGTCTCTGGGAAAGTAATGTTTCAAACAGGCAAACTTTTATCTTAGAACAAGTGGAAAGGCTACAGCAGGTATAGCCACCTAAGTATGAACTTTAGGTCACAATTTTTAAACACGCACCTACTGTACATAAACATTAAAAATAGTCTTAGCAATAGGATTTGATTTATATGTGCACGTATGTCCACCTTATCCCATATTTATGTTTGGCAACTATTTGGGAATTCAAAGGTGCAGCCCTCAGTAATTGTATTATTTAAAAAAAAGAAATGAAGCATTATCTACTCTATGAGAAAAGAAATTCTCAAATATCAATTTCCAATGTTAAATTTAATCTCAATAGGAAAATATTAAAAATGTGCACATCTAAATTTTTCCATGTTCTGTATATACATATGTGTGTGTACGTATACATAGAAATACTCATGTACCACACATATTCACAAAATTTAAGTGGAAGTATTTCTGTCCACTGTTTTCCCACATGTAAATGACATCATATCTTTAAAAATGTCAATAATAATATCATTAAAAATAATACATTTATTCCATCATCAACTTTCTGTGTTTTTATTCTTCATCTTTATTACGTCCACTGAGCAGTAACAGGCCAGATTCTCCTTGCACTTCCACAGATGTTATGCCAACTGAATGTTACTGACATCACATCAAGCACACATCTGGTTTACAGCAGCTCAAGTGACAGGAGAATCAGGCCCAAACATCCCCAGGTAAATTAAAAACTAGTCATATCTGCTCATCTGGACCTGATGAAGATAAACACACCACCATCTAAAATCCACCGAATGAGAAACATGTAGCTCACCACAAAGTTTTCAACCAGTAGCACTCTGAACCAAGCTCCCCCCCACCCCTTTAATAAATAAAATAGGTGAGAAAATACCCTAAAAATATGGAGAAAACTTAACCATTGTGTACATTACATACAGTATAGTACATGACGGTTTAGCATTTGACCTAAACCATTTTCCTGACTAGTCAGGGGAGACCTGATAAATTACTGATAAAGAAAAAAAAATGGTATTTTAGAAATAAAGCAGGTATTTCTAATATAAATGGGAGCCTGTGTGTATTATACGATATATACACACAGCACACACATGAAAACAAACTTTTCTAGTTTTGAATAGCAGTCTCTAAGTGGAGAAAATTGTGTTGTACAAATTTAATAAGCAACTAGATTTCATGTTTAACATTCAAATTAATTTGGGGAGCAAACAAAGGTCCGTGCATCTTTCAACTCTGAAGTCTGACACTCACTCACACATTTTAAAAAAGCCCTCTTCAACATTACAAGCAATTTATGGCAAGAATGTACTTTGATGCAAGACACATGACACTTGGCTTACCTTTCAAAGAGTTTGGTTTTTTCCAAATAAATCTATTATATAAAGAAATGTGTGTTTGCCAAAAGTCTGTTAAAATTACATCAAAACAACTTTAAAACCTGCTCACTGAGGATAACTGAATTCAATTTCCTGTTTTTAAACATTTAGTGAACAGTTCAGAATATTGCCTGGTGTAGTTTCAATAAAGATGTGATATGAAGACCCATAAAAGAGTAAACACGTCTCCATTTCAATTTGCTATGACAACAAAACTTCTAGAAACACCTTTCTTGGCTGGACAAGTTCAGTGTCCCAGTAATCCCCTGTAACACCTCTATGCCCTTCATGCAATCTGTAATAAAACAGTGCTCCCCATAAGCCATTATTCACAAAACCTGAAATTCATGTGACATTCTGTAAAAGCCCCCTGCAGAACAGGTTTACAGTCAATTGAACATACATATTCAACATATGTACCAAGGCCAGAAAACAAACAACTGGCTATTCCTTGTTATCTGTGCATGTCAAATTTTACATTTAAAATTCTCAGGGCTTTTCTGCCTTTTTTTTTGTTGTTTTTTTTCCTGGAGGACTCACCTTCCATCATTGGTTGGCTTCAAAATGCAGTTAAGTGGAAGATAGTATCTCATGGTAATTACATGGAATCCATATGAAAAAGTAAACCTTACATTGGACAATATTGTAGAACACCAGAGTAAGCTCCATGAAGAAATACGGTATCTTCCAGTATATATATATATATATATATAAAAAACAAAAAACCAACCAAACAACCAACCAAAAAATCCCCAAAAGGAAGAACTTTATACAAGCAGTTATAGTAACTTTGTTTCAATTAAAGATGCAACTCTCTCTCACTCCTGGAAAGAATAAATTGGTAATGGCACTGCTTCTCCACAGTGCAAAGTATCCTGAGAAATTATTAAAAACAACAAAATACAGGGCTGTCATCACTAAGTTTTTGCACAAAATATAGCAATTAAATATCTTAAATAAATAAAACAGCAGATAACCTATACTGTGTCTATTGCAAAAGGGGGATATGACCTGGGACACTGCTGTAAATTCTCCCATCACTGATTATTAGAAAAGGATTGCATTCAATTACTGTTAATATCTTTCAAGTTATCTATGGCCAATAATGTACAAGGAGGTAATTTGTAATTCAAGTTTTTTTGATTGTTGTTTTTTTCTTCAAATAGCTACAAGCTGAGTTCTAAATTTTACATTGCAATATGACTCAAATTTAAAACACGCCCTCTCAGAGGAGCATTTTCTAATTTTGTGCAACTTTGATGCAGAGCCCAACACAGTCCTATGAAGAGAGACAGTGCATCTTTAAGCTGATTGGCACTGAAATCCCATTTTTTTAGCTGCATTCTATTAGCTTGGCCAAGTTATCTCGTAACTCTGTTAGTTCAAATATTTTTCCATCAAGAATTTCTAAAAGTGTCTTCAAGTTATTGCGAAAGGCTTCTTGCTCATTCTGACTTTTCTCCAGACGTTGCTCTAGATCAGACAGCTGGCCTTCCAGGTCTTTGTTTCGAATTTCTACTTCCTTCAGAGAAAACACATAGCATGTTAATGTGTTGTCTGCAAACAGAAGGCAGTCTAACCTCCTGCTGGTATTCAGGTGCTATTTTTGTCAACTGGTTTTTAAAACAATTTGTGACCCTTTACAGTTTCTGCTAAGTCAAAACCAGAACCCAAACTGCTATTACGATTGTGTATGTACTATCAGGTCCTCCATTTTTTCAGTAATTCATCTGAAGGACAGAAACTTATGGAGAGGGATAAAATTTAGTCAGTGAACAATGGATGTGACATGCTTATTCAGGTAAGTTATTACTTCTATCATTCAGAAAGGTGCCACCTACTGAAAACAGCATCTCAAAGGTTTGCTTAAGTTCAAGTATTCCCCGATTTAGACTACATGAATTCGTGAAGGATGCAGTTCCCGTTAAATGGCCTCATACAGAAACACATCCAGAACACCGCTTTACAGATGGAGGAGTGCTGCCTTACTCCAGTCCCACATCATAGGCCTTTGCACCCTGAAAATTAAGATGGAAACATAAACGAGCCCCCATGCCGCATGGAAGGACGCAGCGTCGGCGTGTTAGACGCAGCAGAGGGGATCTGGTCCGGAGCACGCTTGGCGCTGGTTCGCGAGGCCTGGGACCCCCACAGCGGAGGGGGCCATGGCCGCTCGGCTTTGTGCGAATGGGGTGCCCTCTCTGCTGTCGGGTTACAAACGCAGCGCTCACGTGGGTCTGGAATAGCATGTTGTCATTTGTCGCATTCATTGCACGTCTCGTAAATTCATGCCAAATTTGGTGTTTTCAGTTGTGAAAAACACTCTCAGAGGCAGCACAGGGACAGTCTATTTAGTACACCTCACACCCCGTGCACTGGAAAAGCGCATCGTGAATTCACACTTACACACATTAACACTTTCTCAACACCGCTTCCCTTTCTGTGTCACAAAGCTTTCACAGGCCTGCCCTGAGTTTTCACATGCAGCGGTTTCACGCAGCCACAGGGAGGGCGATTCGGCCCCAGCCACTGCTCCCAGCGCGAGCGACTCCTCCTTCTGCCCTCCCACTGTTTCTGCTACAATTCTTCTGCCGCCCTCAAAGCTAACAAATACACTCACGACCACACTGGAGAGATCTCAGCTAACCACAAGAAACAACCTGGCCCATACAGAGCACGTGTCTGAGCAGCCAAGAGTAACAGGTGTAAACAGCAGACTCCTGATAAAGCCTGTGGCCCAAGACACGTTCCCACCAGCGAGGGGTCCGACGGCAGCCTTGACCGGCCGCTGCGCCCCTGGCCAGATGAGGGATGGGTAATGATGTGGCCAGGGGTC